CAGTTTGATTGCTTCATACGATCCGCGTAGGCCGGACAACTTGGGCCATTGGAGTGGAGTTGGGTCTGACGAATTGACCAACCACTGGAGCACATTTGCAGATATTCCTGCTGAAACATCTGGGGGTAAATCGTCCGGTTGCTTTAGGCCGAGCTCCACATTGTAAACAACAAAAATGAGCGCGACATGCTGTGGTTGTAACGTGCACAGAAATGTTACGTTGACAAAACCGCGCCCACCACTTTCGTGAAATGTTCTCGTCCTCTGAACGTCGGCAGGTACCTCAGTTGCATCGATGTTTGTCGTTTGTGTTAAGATGCACTCATCAAACTCCAACTTGAATCCGGTTTTAAATAGAGCAAGTGTTTTTGTTCGACCGTTCGGCATTCCCAAGCTGTCTAAACGGTGGATGTAGACAATCGCTTCTTCCAACCTTCTGGAGGGTGCCGATTGATGGAATTGTACCGCACTCATGCTGTCCCGTGGGCTACTTACTGGCTTCCAGTTTGAGAGTAGTTCGGGCAAACTGGATCGCACATGCAATGGGAACAATTGCGCTGCTACGTCATGATGCATTTTAACTGTGACAACGGCGACCTGCTGCAACGTTTCGCTGGGCAGTAGGGAGTGCGTGGGAACCGACTCTAGATAATACGTTAGGTTACAGTTCAATATAAGAGCGTCTATGGTTGCGCTTGCCTCGGGTGCTTGCAGTAAGTAGCTGTACATTTTTTGTGATCCGTTACGCCCTTTCACGCTCCAGTCTTTCAGCACACGAACACTCCAAGGGATGTATTTGTGAAGATGATAATCGTGAGCTTCGCAGGTTAATTCCATACGGCCATATGGAATTAAGTCAGCTGTGCACAATACGTAGACGGCTTGATTGGGTTTGATATATTGTCCAATATGAGGCGCTACCTGACTGAAAGATTCGAACGATGTCATATTCTCCGGAAATGGCTGCATACTCAGATGTATCTGGACGTTATCTTTTTCTGGTAAGACTAGCAAGTGTCTTGGAGGGAGGCCAGCTGTCGGCTTACATTGCTCACAGTATTCCGATATATTGCATTTGTAAAAACCTGTATCTGTATATTGCGTGTTAACTAGACGAAAAACCAAGGCGCTCCCACCATTCTCTTCCTTATCGTATATAAACCTGTCTGGGGCCGGCACATACGCTGAGGTCTGATCACTTTTGAAGAAACATCTGAGCGTGACATTCTTTGGTGGTCTGTGACCGATCATCTCCGCAGTCTTGCCAATCGTTACGTTAGTACACCCCAGGATGTGCAATAGCGCAATCCGCTGAGTGTGTATAGTATTTTGCCAAGTGCTGGTATACCCGTCAACCCCATGCTTGGTTTCGCGGATGGTGGTGGCAAGGCGCGCTTCAAAGCTCTTGATAAATACACGCTTGAGCTGCACCTCAGTGGATTCTTCATTTCCAGTGCTAGTTTCTGGGATGTACACAACTATAGCCAGGCCAACTGTGTGTATGTCTAGCACACATGTATATGTAGTTACTTCATAATTCCAGCTACCGAACATAAGGTAATCCATACGATTTTGCACATAAGGTAAGCCTCCTTCATGTTCAATGGGTTTCTTAAATAAACTGGTGCAATCGGAAATTATCACAGATTGTTCCCATTGGGACAATGTCCATACCGTCGTCTCACCTTTCGGGAACCCCAGAAATGCAATGTAATCGATAGTGTATTCACCTTCGTCTGCGTTCACGGGTGGACCAACTTTTCCTTGAACAACGGCATCCAAATCTTCGGACTGAGGATTTTTCAGTGCTTCGGTTAGTGAAACTATGTTAGTGTTAATCTGGTCTCCCAAAATTACAGGGTTGAAAGACGCGATAGGCCTGATGAAAGTCGTATTGAATTTCTCTGGTCGTCCACTGGATTGTGGGACCGCGAAAAATAACACAGTTAAAATGAGTATTACCAACGTCATCCAGACTAGCGGGAGTTTCATTAACCTGTATGACAATGTGGCATCAGCTTGTTTGAACTAGCTTCGATCGATTTTCTTGTAGATCAATTTTGTTAGACGAGATGCGAGTACTGGTAAGTAGATTAACGCTATCGTTTGGAAGGCGACCGAGTCAGCCTCGTGTACTGCTGAAGTTGGTGGTTTAACTACAGATGAAAAAATCCTGTATGATGCGATGCACAGTCGTTAAGGATACATTAAGTTTTAACACGAATCGGTAGTTTAGGATGAACAGCTGAATAGGAGGGCAGTGGGCTCTGTGTGTAATAAGTGTGCATCAGACCAACACAGGTATGTCCGCATGGTTGGGAATAAACCTTCATTTATTTATTTTAAGTTATCACTGTTCTTTGGAATTTACACGGTTTTCTTGCAAATATTTTGACATGTTTCATACAGGATGTTCCCTCCACAAACTTCAAAATAGCAAGAAGAAACTACATTTTCATAAAATAATCTAATTCAAACATTTTGCGTCTTCTCATCAACTGTGTACAGAAATCAGTCGAATCAGTATGCTGATGAGAAGATGCGAAATATTTGAACTCAGATCATTCTGTCGAAATATTGTCTTTTCTTACTATTTTGAAGTAATTTGACATGGTCGAAATACTTGGTAACTCAGTTGCTAGAAGAAAGGGTGCTTGTAATGACAGTCACTTATTTCGTTTTGTCACGCGCGCCACTTCTTGTCTCAGAATTGGCATCTGTCGCTAAACTAAATGAAGTTGATTGATTGGTGCACATTCAGCGCTGCTCATGCCTGAAGTGCAGATGTCAATCGGACTGTTGCTCATCTTTTCCTTCATGTTTGGGCACCATGCGGGATTAGCACTAGGGACTCATCCTTACTGATGTCAAATCTCTGAGGATTCGCTGAAACACGCGCAATCCAAAAAGTTTGGTATCCTGCTGATGTGCGAGCTTGATACCTTTCTTCTACAGCATTGATAGCGCCTACTTCAATGATCTTTAGTACCCTCAATGTGAAATATTTTCATCCTTAATTCTCTGTATGCAGGATGTCATCATAACTGCTAGTCAAACAAGTTAGGTGAACAACCGGAGGTGGTGGAGAATCATTGAGTGGCATGTACCAGTTTGACGCAGCTGAATGTGAAATAGCCATCGACCAAACAGTGTGTATATGTCTGGGGCAGCAGCATACCCAATGAACTATGGACAATGTGACCCTGAGGCATTGGTTTGCGATGGTCCCAGCCACTGTGCACTATCCCTAGATGTGTCAAAATAAGTGATCAGCATGTAAATCCTTTGAACAAAACAGTTTGGGTCCTAAAGTTTTAATTTCCGCAAATTACCAACCTCTCATTTGAAACATGGTACACAGATTTGGGAGCTTCGGTACAAGCACGGTCTTGTCCTACTTCCGATCTCACAGTGAAGGGTGAAAGAGATATACCGTCAGGCGCTCTTCTCATGTTCACATGTACGGAATGCGAGAAAGAGATAGCCCCACTGGCAACTGCATAAAGTACTGTACTATTTACAACCAAAAGAAGCCTATCTGTGTAAACAACCCATTGTGTCCCGTGGTATTTACAGTCGATATGAGAGTTAGTGAATGTGTCTTATTAGTACGAAGTAGAATTGACTAATTAACTTAACGTAATGCTACGGCGAGTATCTTTACGTTCACCTACTTCGGACCTTTGTCATTCAAACAACCAGCGCCCAGCATCGGTGTCAATTCTCCATTCACGAGAAAACAGAACCGGTTTTTGATTGAGCACAATATTTCCACCAAACAATTTCAATACTCCACAGCTAACTTCCTTTTGTACACAGACTAACTGGCTCTTATATGTTAGGCAAGCAGGACATATGTGCTAATAGGAATAAGGCTAAGTAGAGTACCCTTAGCCTAAGTCTGTTGAAAAAGCCCATAGCTGTTGTAGATGAAGTACTATAACCTATCGCGATGGATACTAGGATGGTCCCTGGCAACGTTTACCCAAGGAAAAGGAGGGTACCGCTGATGAATGCATTGGTGCGTTCTGCGGTGGCAAATGGCAGGTTATGCGAGCGAAACTGAAGCGCAGCCAATGGGCTAGAACCTCAGTCAGTGGCACCAGCACAACCTGATCACAATTGCACAGGACGGATGGACAGGGAGGAACCCGTTTCCAGCGCTGTAAAGGAAGCAAAGTTTTGATCCCACCCAGTTCAAAATGTTGGCGAATTCGCGACACTGATGCATGATGGGAGGCACATGTCACGATAACAGCCGATCGACCGAATAAGCAAAACAGACGGAGCTAACTAGTGAATAGATAACACCCTGCGACAACAAATCTTTATTTGCTTTAACAGTAATACCAATGTCCTTACCTTAATGTTATCTAGCACGTCGGTTTACATGGTTATAAGCAAAGGATTGTTTACAGTAATGTCAAGGCTTCTTCATACGAATGACATATAAGTCTACTGAAGTACAATATATACAGAATGCCTTTTTGTAGCAGTTAGGTTTAAAACACCATGCGCACTACTCGCCGCTAACTATGACTGCAGCTTGGCACTGGAGAATGATGACTTCGCCGAGGTCGTCGCTTGTATGATCCAGCCCCCTCACCCTGAAGAAACCAGCAGAAGTCACCCATCATAGAAGGCGTGTACCTGCCACTGCAGCGTTGCTCCAGGAGTGAAATGTCTTGGTGGAAGTGCTCACCATGCTCGTCGCTAACATATCCCACGTTCTCAGTGAAAAATGGAGGCGATTATGCAATAGGTGCATCATGAGTAACATTCGAGCGCCAACATCCGGATAGTCCGCAGTGAGTATTTTTTTGATGTCTTCGTAGTACTCTGCCTTCGTACTGCCAAAGAATCCTATACACACTGCCTTGAATGATTCCTACCCTTCTAACTCAAAGATATTTAAATGGAATTCGAAGCCACTGTATTCCATTAACCGGCGAATATCCGACCCATTAAGTATCCCTTCTTTGAGGTTCACGTCACTGATGTTCGGAAATACTGGTTTCAGGAACTGGAACGCAAAACCATCTCGCATGAGGGCTTTGACGACGTTTTTAATCGAACCAAGCCTGATGTGCAGGGGTGTTAGATATATATTTTGTCGTCTTCCAATAATTTGCTTTGCTTTTGCTATTGTTTTGCTTATACTAACCCATCTACCTAATACTCGTTGACCCAGCCACATGCTCTTGCATCTGATTGGTGGCAATACTAATGTCTGTCGATTTGATTGTAAGGCGCAGATGTGCAGACAGTTTCCCATACATACATTCCGGTGCTGCATTGGTCTACTGCTATGCGTGGTACAACAAATTGGCGTCGCATGTTACCGATGTATTTGCACACTACTGCTCCTGCACCGTTCTCTGCTGGCTCTGCGGGTACCCCAAATGCCGACTGCTGGGAAGCTTGAAAAAGTAGTTTTTCAGATTATGTTTCTGTGCTGCCAGTTCTTAATCCATCCGTGACACTGAGAGCGGAGGATAATTTCAAGCTTTCTCGCTTGCACCTCGGCTCAGAGGGTCGACGTATAGTTGAGGCTCTAAACCTGTCGGAGAAACATACATTAACAGTTGCCTTATCGACCCTTGATAAAGGTTAAAGTTTTCGAGTGAACACTTATAATTCTCAGTACAAGTTTTCGCAGCAGAAGCAAGCATCTGGTGAATCAGTTTATACTTTCATTTCTCTCCCAATTTGTTCTGTTCAGAAGTGTGACTATAATAGTATTCCCGAGAAGAAAGTGGAAAAAACTGCTGATACAACAATTGATTTCTGACCTCACGACATCTCGGATCAGAAAGTCTCTTAATGGAAAATGCAGAGAATCTCACTTGGGACAGGGTCTGCGACGTGACCCGCGCGAAGGCCGTAGACACGGAACAGAACAAAATATTCTTTTCTAACGCAGTGTCTACTGAAAGTGACTGCCTGGATTCTACACGCTCTCTGACGCGATCCTCAATTGGAAATAAGTGTTACCGTTGTGGAAATACTGAACACCGTGCAAATGAGCTATGATTTATGCCGGGTAACAAATCAGTTGCTTGACAAGTCGTGTAGGCTGGTGGGGTAAAACGATAATATCAAATGACATGTACGTTATCTGTACGAAGGTTTATCCAGCAGATACGTTGCTGAATTATACTAGTGTAAATGCTAATTAAATGCGAACGTAGAGGCAACATGGGGACAGTTATATTTGATGTACTCCGTGAGTAAAGTAAAAAGTAGTATACTACTTCGATATCGCTTCCTCAGGTTTATGTGACATGTTAATCCGGTTTGAAGGGATAATTAATATACCCTGAAGTGGCACAGTTTAGGCAACAAATTGATGGTGGTCAAAAGCAAGATCCAAGGTGGGGGAGGAAACAGCTAGTTTTTTGGATTGCTACATGGTTAGGAAAAGCGAGGAGAAATATAATCACTGGCATTCCAGGCGGCTGTACTCTGCACACAAATTCAGAGGGTAACTTCTGAGATTAGTGTTATGGCCGGGTTTCAGCAAGTGACGGCATACGTGAGTACAGTCACACAATATTTGGTGGTCTAATATGAGATCACTTCGCAGCCTTCGTTAGCGACCACTGAAGACTCCCAGTGACTTTAGTCTTTGATTGTAGGATAAATTTCATAGGCTCTTGACCTTCTTTGTGACTCTGCGTTATGGTTTCTCTAGCACTTCTAAGTCTCGCTCTATGCAGGCTTGCCATCTTTGGATGGCGCATGCAACGTGAAGGCGAAAGTAAGAATGGTGCATCATGGAGAAGATGGATTGGTCTAATCTTCCGAATACTCTCCGCAGCGAGCCGACTTGCTGGTTGGCTCTCTTCGCTGCTGCCTCATACAGACTTGGACAGTTAAGGTCACATTGAATGAGCACACCAAGGTCGTGTTCTTGGGAAATTGCTTGCAATACAAATGACCCCAGCCTATGCACGTAGTCATACCTATGG